CAGGCTGGAATGCACCGGGCGGGCCCATGCGATCATGTGTTTTTGTATTAGAACTGAAGTGTTCAGGTCATTAACTGCATGAATGGTTGCTGCTTTACACCTACCTTTTGCGGCCACTAGCGTAAACCACCACAAATTTTGCATAAAGTATATGTACAATTTCCATTTAACGATCGTTCATTAAAAGTAACCTAGTTGCTCAGTCAGATATCCAGCCAAAATTTTAAGTGCCCGTACGTAAGAGCCATGCGTAATTCAATGTTGAATTTGAAATACTTAAGTTGTAGTTAGACAGGGAACATCCCCCCTAAAGTTTCAGCCTTCCAGCTTTCTAGTTGCCGAGTTAATTTTCTCGCAGGGACTTTTATAAGTCCTTACGTAAGTACTACGTATAGCTGGGGGCTGAATTTGAAATATTTGAGTTGTACTTGGACAGGGAACAATACCTCAAAGTTCCAGCCTTTCAGCGTTTCTTGTTATCGAGTTAGTAATTTTGCCGCCAGAAATTTCACATGCTCGTACGTGGGTACTCCACGTGCCTTGGAAGCTGAATTTGAAATTTTTAAATTGCACGTAAACAGGGAACATCCCCTTAAAGTTTCAGCCTTCCAGCTTTTCTGGTTGCTGAGTTAATATTTCTCCCGCCAATTCTTTCACGTACTCGTACGTTAGAACCACGCATAACTGAGAGGTGGATTTGAAATATTTAGGTTGTACTTGGATGGGAGATATTACCCCAAAATTTCAGCTTTCTAACTTTCCTGGTTCCCGGGTAGCAATTTTCCCGCCAAAACATTCATACGCCCTTACGTGAGTGCCACGCATACCTAGGGCTGTATTTGAAACCTTTAGTTAACACATGCACAGGGAATATCCCCACAAAGTTTCAGCCCCTTATCTTGTCTGGTTCTCTAGATGGCTTCCCCGCCAATAAATTTGCATATTTTTTTTAAAACGCCGATACGTGGGACCCAGGCGTACACAGCTGATGATGTTAAAAAGAGAAGATCGCACACGGTATGGGTACATACTTCCAAAGTTTCAGCCTTTTAGCTTTTCTGGTTCTCAAGTTAAAATGGGTGATAAAAAGTGCGAACACACAGACACAACACACACACACACACACACACACAGACGGCCTCTTCTCAATATGAGTTTTTACAATTTGCATATATGCAAAAACATATAAAAATTCATTCGTCAGCGCACCATCTTCCGGTGCGAAGATTTTACAGCCCCCTAGCAAATTTTAGTCGGTATCGGCACTGCTTTTTCCAGCAGATACTTCCAGCTAAAAGAACTGATACTGGGCATCGTGACTGTCAGTAATTATTGCGATAAGTCCCAATCTACACTCGGAAAAATTCAGCATTTTAGATGCTT